GCAGAAGGGTGGCATCCAGGCAAATAGGGCAGAAGCTAGGTTATTATTTACACTGACTGTTCTTTTTCCCTTCCATACAGTGCTCTGGTCTGGGGTCTGTCTGTGAAACACAATCCTCAGAAAGTGGGTAAAGACCATACGTTGGAGGACGAGGATGTCATTCAAATTGTGAAGAAGTGAAACTTTTCCCCTTTCCCATCTGCCGGGCGAACCACAACAGCCTTCCCCATGATCAAGCACCCTACCCCAGTTCTTTCTGGTTTTGGCAGTCACTGGATCAGGATCCAGGGGAGGGAGATGGAGGCACCCAAACCGGAACTTCATTTGTCTTACCTTGGTGTCACCTTGTATGTCGAACTGCATAAAAGACCTGGTAGGCTGGTCAGCTACATACAGCTCATGTGTCATTGTCAGAATTTGTTTTGGGATGGGCTGAATGAGGAAGGGTATATACGGTGAAGTAGCTACAGAAGGGATCCTTGGAAACTTGATCTTGAGTGTGAAATGGATAAAAACATGACATGCAGCATCTTCTTTGATGTTTACTTATGGGAACCCCTTCCAAACTAGATGTGGCTTTCAATCCTTTCAAGTGGTCTTTCCCACATGATACTGGAGAGAGGAAGGACTTTATGTAAAGTTAACTGATCACTCCCTGCAAGGCCAACCTGTTTTGGGAGATCATGTAATTTAAGTACTTAGACCAGGCAGATCAGGGTTTGAAATTTCAGGTCCACCTCTAGTTAGCTGTGGAGCCCTGAACAAATTACCCAACCTTTATGAGCCTCAGTTTCCTCATGTAACATGGAGATAGTAATAGTTACTTTCTGCCGTCGTGATTGTCGGTAATGTAGGGATAGGTACTTATAAATTGCTTAGCACAGTATTTGACGTATAAGTACTCAATGACTCTTGGCTTTTGTTGCATCCAGCCTTTTACTGGGCTGTCTGCCCTATGCAGAGCACAGCTGTACATCATCAGTGTTGGGCTGAATGTTGAGCTGAAATGCTGCCAGCTGGGCCACTAAATGCTTTCTTCTTTTTTTTTTTTTTTGAGATAGTTTCGCTCTTGTTGCCCAGGCTGGAGTGCAATGGCGTGATCTCCGCTCACCGCAACCTCCGCCTCCCGGGCTCAAGCGATTCTTCTGTGTCAGTCTCCTGAGTAGCTGGGGTTACAGGCATGTACCACCATGCCCTGCTAATTTTGTATTTTTTAGTAGAGATGGGGTTTCTCCATGTTGGTGAGGCTGGTCTTGAATTCCTGACCTCATGTGATCTGCCCGCCTCGGCCTCCCAGAGTGCTGGGATTACAGGCATGAGCCATCACGCCTGGCCAACTAAATGCCTTCTTTTCCATAACCCAGCCTTTCTGCTTGAATCCCCATGGAAGTCCTGGCCTCAGCCAATAACTTGGGCAAAGGTGTGAAGGCAGAACGTTGCAAGCGAGGCAACTGGTGTGATCAAAGCAGGTTTGTGTGTTCACATATGTGTATGTATGGAGGTGGGAGGTTTAGGAGGAGGGTTGGTGTCAGGACTACTTGAGAGGATACTAAGGACATAATCAGATGTTTGGGGAGCTAGGAATATAGGAATTTAAGGGGATTGCTCTGATTATGTGAAATTGATTTTGATAAAAATCTTTGTGTGGTGGGTAACAATATGGGCAGAGGGGACTGGGCCCAGTAGCTCACACCTTGGGAGGCCAAGGCAGGAAGATTACCTGAGCTCAGGAGTTCGAGACCAGCCTGGACAACATAGCGAGGCCCAATCGCTACTAAAAATTTAAAAAATTAGCTGGGCATGGTGGTGCGTGCCTGTAGTCCCAGCTGTTTGGGAGGCTGAGGTGGGAGGATTGCTTGAGCCTGGAGGGTCCAGGCTGCAGTGAGCTAAGATGGGTCACTGTACTCCAGCCTGGGTGACCATTGGTCTTTATGTCCAGTCCACCATGGTCTCTCACCTGGATTTTTCTTTTTTTTTTTGAGATGGAGTCTCACTCTGTCACCCAGGCCAGAGTGCAGTAGCATGAGCTCACTGCTAGCTCTGCCTCCCAGGTTCACACCATTCTCCTGCCTCAGCCTCCCAGGTAGCCAGGAGTATAGGCACCCACCACCACGCCTGGGTAATTTTTTAATATTTTTAGTAGAGATGGGGTTTCACCGTGTTAGCCAGGAGGGTCTCGATCTCCTGACCTCATGATCTGCCCACCTCGGCCTCCCAAAGTGCTGGGATTACAGGTGTGAGCCACTGCGCCCAGCCACATGTCTATTTTTGAATCAGTTGTTGGTAAAGGGAATAGAATTATTGAAGAACCAGAATTTAGCCCTGTAAGTTATTGTCATTCTTGATTTGTGTTTATGCTCATAGTTCACAACAAAAGGCCAATGGACCTCACACTTCCCTTTCCTCTTAATAGTCTGGCTTATAAGACACTCAGTAGCTATCTCCTAGGGGAAGGCCTAGCTGCATTCTCTGTTCACTTCATTCACACTTCCTTTTACCACTGACCTCCCTTGGGAGGGACTGTTCTTTCCTCTCCTACCTGACCTCCCCAGCTTAACAGATTTTCCATTATATGCTTTGTGGCCCTCAGCTGTTTTACTTTCAGGATGCCTTCTATATCCTTAGTTTCTCTTAACTTTTATTTTGCATATCCTTCCAGCACTGATTGCTTCTGAACTCATCTCATGCCTGCAAGACATCAAAAGTTTCTCCAAAGACATCCCTTTCTCTCTGCCCTCATCCTACATCAAGGTCTTAGCTCCTTGAAGACTGCATTCATGTGTCTTTTGCCTTCATCCCTCACCCCTGCTTCCTGTAGTCCGTTTGCCAAAATACTTTTGCTAAAACCTGTATGTCTAGTTTCTGCTGATACTCTTAGCAACACTCCCTTATTTCCTTCTGCCTCCATTTTGCCAATCACCAGCTAATGGCTTTGCTCTTTGCATGGTACCCATTTCTGTCCTACTAGCTTCTAGCCTGAAAAGGAAGCCTTTACTAGCAGCTTCAAACCAGTCCTCCTTACCTTGCACCTATTAACGTTGGTTCAACATGAAGGGGAAGTAAGGTAAGTGGAAGAGAGGATACACAGGAAAGGTGGAACTGGATTCAGGCATCGGTGTTCTGCCATTGACACTTGGGACTGCTTTCCAGCTTCCACCTGTGGAAACCAGAAAGCATTTGCCAAAAATTCTAAACATAGGGTCTATTTCTGAAGCTGAGGAATTACATGGAGTGAATAGCATGGGGGAAGGGGATTACTAATGAGGTTGAAGGGAAAGTACCAGGAAGAGACTGACTTCATGCATAATCCACAAAGCCAGGTTTTGTTGAAAGGTGACCTGCATTCTTGTATTCCTGCAAGTACAGGGCAGGGTGGGCAGTTCCAGGCTTATAGTCATTATTCCCTAACACTGAAGACTCAGGCTGCTCAAGACTGTACTACCCTTGTAGTCAAAAATCCAACCACCTTGACCTTCACCTCATTATCTGACCCTTTAGCATGGAGTCCCAAAATGGTCCTAAATGGACAAATACCTACAACTCTGGTAAATTAACTTGAGTAGCATGGGAAATAAGTATAACCGCATAGCAGGACTGAAAAACTTCCAGTTAGGAAAGGGGACTCACAACCGTACTGTATTCTGTAGAATCTTTATCCGTCAGTGCTGTGTATGTACTAATAGTTAAGGTGAATAATAAAACAATTGTGAGGAACGTGATACAGAACACAAGGAGTCAATTAATGCATGAGTCTTTTTTTTTTTTTTTTTTTTGAGACGGAGTCTCGCTGTGCTCCCAGGCTGGAGTGCAGTGGCGTGATCTCGGCTCACTGCAAGCTCCGCCTCCCGGGTTCATGCCATTCTCCCGCCTCAGCCTCCCAAGTAGCTGAGACTACAGGCGCCCGCCACCACGCCCGGCTAGTTTTTTGTATTTTTAGTAGAGACGGGGTTTCACCATGTTGACCAGGATAGTCTCGATCTCCTGACCTCGTGATCCACCCGCCTCGGCCTCCCAAAGTGCTGGGATTACAGGCTTGAGCCACCGCGCCCGGCCAATGCGTGAGTCTTAAGGGAAATTCTTAGACTTCAGTGGGTTGAATCAGAACTCTGAGCTTAGAGAAACAGGATGCCCCAGTAAACATGATTTAGTTTGAGAAACTACCATATGTAATAGATGATTCCTTAATAAACAAATTGTTTTCACTAGGTCAGTTTAATCTTGGAAATTACACTATAGATATCCTGGTATTAGCCACAAGGCTACGCTATCTATAGGGTCAGTCCAGTGTAAACTGACCCGTTGGGGTCTTTAAAGCTCAAGGAAAAAGGCCATAGCTGATTTCTCCTAAATCAAGAGAGTCCAATTAACTTTTTTTTTTTTTTTTAGATGGAGTCTCACTGTGTCACCAAGCTGGGTTGCAGTGGCGTGATCTCAGCTCACTGCAACCTCTGCCTCCCAGGTTCAGGCAATTCTTCTGTCTCAGGCTTCTGGGTAGCTGGGACTACAGGTGCGCACCACCATGCCCAGCTAATTTTACATTTTCAGTAGAGACGGGGTTTCACCATGTTGGCCAGGATGGTCTCGATCTCTTGACCTCATGATCCGCCCACCTCTGCCTCCCAAAGTGCTGGGATTACAGGTGTGAGCCACAGTGCCCAATTTCTATGGGTTTTAAAGAAAAATTTAAACTTTTTCAGATCACTTCCCTAAAGGAACATACTGAGCATAGCTTGGCTGGTTAGAAATTAGGAAGGCTAGCCTGGGCTACATGGTAAGACCCTGCCTCTACAAAAAATAAGAAAAAAGTTATAGTGGTGTGTGCCTGTAGTTTCATCTACTTGGGAGGCTGAGGTGAGAGAACCGCTTGAGCCCAGGAGGTTGAAGCTGCAGTGAGCCACAATTGCACCACTGTACTCCAGCCTGAGCGACACACAGTGAGACCCTGTCTCCAAACAAAATTAGGAAGGGTTTCAGAGAGGAAATAAACACAACAATGCCAGTTACTTCATTCACACACTTAGCATATGCAATTTTAATCAACCAAAAGAAAATCCCAAATGTACAAGTGAAAAAAATCCAAACTGTTGACACAGGCCTAACTAATATCAGCTACTTTTATGTACAGCTGTATAAGTTCAAAAAAGCTATCCTATATGTATATACAAAAGTTGTTTATACACAGGTCTGTACATAAGGGTCTATACATTTATTTCCTCAGAACCCTTAGGTGCCACCTCTTGGTGAGGACACCAACACTTCATTCACATATCTTACAAAAAAGAAAGACCATTTCCAGGATTGACAACATTGTGCATCCTGTATTCAATGTACACTCCACTCGACTGGTTAAGATCCTTCCATCATAATGCGGACCACACCAGGTGCATGGGTTCCACCAAATAGCTTCACACAGAGTGCTCCAAAGTAAAAGCCCATAAACCAACCCGAGATGAGGAAGCAGGGTCCTGCCCAGGGTGCCACCACAGGTCCGGGCTTAGTTGAGTCTGCCTGCCCTGCTCACTGTCGGTATTCCAATTCATCTACACTGATAACTTTGGCAGGCATCGAAGGCAGGGGTTGCTGTAGCACATCTGAGCCAAACCATTTGGCAAGGCCCACAGGGGAGCTGCTCCTCTGGCTGGGGCGATGCTCCAGCTGGGAGTGCATGTGGGGCAGGCCCGACCGGCTGGGCATGTTCTGAGGAGTTGTCTGAACGCTGACAGCTGCTGCCTGGGAACCAGAGCCTGGAGGATGCAGAACTGTGGAGATAAGAAGGGTTATCATTCACAGCATGAGAAGGAAAGAAGTTTGTTAGACCCTGCTTCATTAAACCCTATCCAAAGAAGAATCTTTACTAGAGAATTTTTTCTAGGGCTTCTTTAGATAGAAACTCCTTTGCAAAATACCAACAATGCCAGAAACAGTACCATGGAAAGCTGAGCTATTCAGAAGCTACCAGTATTGAAAACCTACCCTGGATGACATGACTGCTACTTCTCATGGCAAGTAACCACATCACAGAAGCAGCAACATTAACTGGTGAGGGGGCATATACCCTGGGCAGGCCGGATGCTGAACCTCTGTTGGATTATCAGCCCTCTCCTAACAGGCAAAGGACAAAGCCAGAGCACACTTGACTTTTCCCACTGACTCTGCAGGAACAGTAATCCCAAATTGCATAGAGGTCAATTTACTCCATCTTATTCTCTGGTTACACTCTTGTCCCAAACTTAGAACAAGTTAAAGAATGAATGTTAATTCATGTCCACTGAAAACTAGTCCTAAAAGCTTTAAGACTCCGTAAGTCTGTCCCAAACTCACCTGTCAAATTCCTGAACCTACCTGAGCGCTGTAGCTGCTGTTGCACCATTGCCAGATGCAGAGGTGTTCCAGGACGAGGGTTTAAGAGAGGGTGACTAGCAGCAGGTAAAGGGTAAAAGGGCTGACCCAGGATAGGGCCAGATATTCCCTGTAAATGAGTCAAGTCCATCCCAGGAGGAAGCACACCTGTTCAGCAGAAAAAGCAAGCAGCTGAGTAGTCTTAATGCTACCTGGAAGTTTTCCAGCTTCACTGTACAGTTTTGCTGATCTGGAATTTTGTTAAGAATGAAGGCCTAGGTGCAATGGCTCACGCCTGTAATCCCAGCACTTTGGGAGGCCAAAGCGGGCAGATCACAAGGTCAGGAGTTCAAGACCAGTGTGGCCAACATGGTGAAACCCCGTCTCTACTAAAAATACAAAAATCAGCCAGGTATAGTGGCAGGCGCCTGTAATTCCAGCTATTCGGAAGGCTGAGGCAGGGACCTTGAACTTGGGAGGTGGAGGTTGCAGTGAGCAGAGATTGCACCACTGCACTCCAGCCTGGGTGACAGACCGAGACTGACCAAAAAAAAAAAATTCCTCTGGCTCATGCCTGTAATCCTGACACTTTGGGAGGCTGAGGTGGATAGATTGCCTGAGCTTAGGATTTTGAGTTTGAGACCGGACTGGACAACATGGTGAAACCCTGTCTCTACTAAAATACAAAATAAATTATATGGGCTTGGCGGCGTGCACCTATAGTCCCAGCTACTTGGGAGGCTGAGACAGGAGAATTGCTTGAACCCGGGAGGCGGAGGTTGCGGTGAGCTGAGATCGCACCACTGCACTCCAGCCGGGGAGACAAGAGTGAGACTTCTGTCTCTACAAAAAAAAAAAAAAAAAATCCTCAAGCTAGGTTCCTAATGTTTTAAAGGACTAGGAGATTGGATTGGACCCACTGCCTGCTAGTTAGATGGGAGACTCTAGTAACATCTTTCTAAGTGATGGAAATCTCCCACATTATAGCACTTCATCAATGCCAATAATTGTCCTCTAGGCCCACAAAATGACACCCAAGTCAGGCTGGGAACTCACCAGTTTGGAGCAAACTTGGAAGATGCTGTGGATGTACTCCCTGGGCCAGCATCCTCTGTACCAACCCTGGGTGAAGCTGGTGAGCAGGCCTAACCATAGGGACATGGGGGACAAGGGGAACTTGGTGGACAGGGCGGAGAAAAGGTGTTGTAGGAACTGGGGATGCCAAGGTGGGTGTTTTTCTCCCAGTTGCTTTAGGTCGATAATCTTGTTCTTTGGTGTAACGGCTGGTCTGGGACAGTGGGGTGGAACAGGAAGACCTCTGTAACGCTGACAGTTTTGGATTTGTAGTGGGAGAAGAGTCTCGATCGGCACTGGGTACAGAGCTGGAGGACAGGAGGTTCTCTGTGAGGATCCAAACAAGAAATATTTTGGTAAACTTCTCCCAAACACTTGTAGTCTCCCACTGGTCTAATAAATCTCATTTCTTAAGGTCACAATTCTTATCTGATACCCTTAACAAGTTTAGAGAACTACACAGTAGGAACCATCATTTGCTTAATAAACAGGACCAGAAGATGAATTGTTGGGAACCCTTCTCTGCACAAACGGCTGTGGCCTAGATTATGCAAATCCATCACAACAAAATCTAAATGGCAATTAGAGTGTGGCCAAAGAACCAAACTGTCTTAATAGTACCAACAAGATTTCCTCCCCACCACCCACCCCAAGCCTTCTCAAACACAGGCAAAAATCTCTCAGATCTATACTGTAACACCTGTGTAAACCCTAATTTAGAATCCGCACGTTACCATGTCCTTCACAATCCCTACTGTGCAACTCCTAAAAGCCTCTCACATGTTTCCTATGTTGGACACTTAAGTCTCCACAGGCTGGATATAATCTTTCAGAAGTAAAACTAGCTGAATTATACTAATTTGCCAAATAAGTACTAATTATTCAACTTTGAAGCCTAACTAAGGATTCTAAACTAACACTCATTCTACCCGTCTAGTAGTAGCACTCTTAGATTGGTCAGAATTTCAAGCAACTGAGCAACTGTGAGCTGGCGTAATTCTTCTCACTGTCACACAAAACCTTCTCACTGACACAGAACCATAGTCCAGAGAAGCTAGTGGTCTTGCCCAGGGCTTTGTATAGAATATCAGGCTGGACAGCACAGCACTCAGGCCCATGTTCTCTCCATTATATACTTTCTTGAGCAGTGCCCTTAACAGCTCTGCAGTACCTTCACTGGCCTTCTGAGTATCCTCTTTACTGTCACCAAGAGCTGCTTTTCCAGATATTGGCTCCTCCTTGCTTTTCTCTTTGCTCTCGTACATCTTACGAATCACTGAGGTAGGGGTAAAGGAAGGAGAAAGCTGCAGAGAAAAACAATTGGCATTAGCACATTCTCTAAGTGCCTTTCTGTAATACTAAGCCAGGATTAACTGGCCAATCTACTCAACAAAGAGTCCCCACATTGGTAGCAAAGGCCACCTCTAGTATTCTGTTCTGTAGCTGCTGGAGGAAAAACAGAATGGGGCAAACAGGCAGTGTCCCAAGTACATTATCCCTTGCTTACAACTCTGTGATAATGGGGACATGCCTATGCAGCCTCTGCATTACCCATTTCCCAGCCTGGGATTAGGCTGGCAAGAAAGAACATGGCCAGAAATATAACTTGGAGCAGCAGACCTTCCTTCTGTGAAAAGACATTTCAAAGACAATGTCAGAACCAAAGTTACTCCAAACATTTCCCTTCTTCACTTGGCTACTAGACTATCTCAATAGTCTCCTCAGCCATCAGGATTAACCAGAATTACTCCATACTCCTAATACTTCCCTTCTTAACTTGGCTACCAGAAAAATCAAATTTATCTCAATAGTCTCCTCAGCCATCAGGATTAATCATTTGGAGTCATTTCTTATCTCTTCACTAGTTCTACTTTGGTGATTTTATTTTGCATTTGCCTTTTCTCACCAAACAACCCGATATCTTTGATGGCAGGAGACAGGGCATGACTTACAAACAGAAAAATTCCTTCCAAACCCTGCTGCCTTCAAGGTCACTGGTACAAAGACCCATGTGGGGTTCTGAAGCACACAGCAAAGTTTTTTTTTCCTTCTCTATCAGCTTTGATTGGATGATAAAGATCTGTGGGGAATGAAACTTTTTTTTTTTTTTTTGAGACGGGGACTCACTAGGGAGGGCAGTGGCATGATCTTGGCTCACTGCAACCCCTGCCTCCTGGACTCAAGTGATCCTCCCACCTCGGCCTCCCGAGTATAGCTGGGACCACAGATGTGCACCACCATGCCCGACTAATTTTTTGTATTAGGGGTAGAGGACATGGTCTCACTAGGTTGCCCAGTCTGGTCTTGAACTCCTAAACTCAATCTACCTGTCTTGGCCTCTGAAAGTCCTGGGATTACGGTGTGAGCCACCACACCCAGCTGGAATGAAACATTTTTTAATGATATAAATGATATAAAGTTTTAAAACTAGACTTGTCACTGCATATAAGCAAACCCTTCTGTTCCAGCCTTAGTTTGTATCACTGAGACCTGAAATGGTGAATCCGAATTTGTGAACTCCTCTGCAAGTTTCAATAGACTCGCCACTGTCTGACCCAGTCACCTCTGTCCACTTCACCTCCTCTCTCTCACTATTGTCCTCCTGTCTCCCCACACCTGGTTCATTTCTTTGAACATACTATATCACCTCGTGTGCCCTGGCCCATGATCATCTCTGCTGGAACATACTTTCCCCAATATAGGGGCTTCATTAAAATCCTAAGACTTAGACTGTCCTAAAGGGGAAAAACCTAATAGGTATGAAAGACTACTAGGTCAGTTATTCCTGTGGAAGGAACTCAAGGACATTTAGGGCACACAGTGGTACAACACATGCACAACCAAACAGGGAGAAGCCTTTAAGTCCTTCACAGTCACTAAAGGTCACTGACCATGCTTGTGATGGAGGCAGCAGGGGCAGGGGAAGAGGAATTCCCTCGATGCACTGGTGCTGGTGACTTGGTCACTCGCTGTTGCCTGTGAACAAACCAATTATCAGCATGAACCCCAACCTCCTTAACTTCAAGTCTTAAAACCATATAATACTCAAGACCAGCCTAGGAATTTTAACATCCCCTTTCCCTTATCCAATTCAATTTCCCAAGCATTTAGGCCTAACATATGCAAAAGTACATGCTAAGTTCTGAGGGAAGGCAAAAGCAAAATGAAACACGATCTCAGTCTTGTAAGAGCTCTCAGTCTAGTGGGGAAAACAATCACCTAGAGCAAACCAAGGCACGTAGATAGTAGGCACCAACAAAGTACAATGGGAAAATGGAGGGGTGAGAAGAAATAACAGGCATTGCAGGAATGCTTCCTGGGGAAGAAGCTGCATTCCACTGGGTGTGATCAACAAGAAGCTGAAGATAGAGAACAACAGTTCAGGTAGATGGAACAGGTACAGGAACTTGGGAGGGCCTTGGAATTATAGGGTTATCCAGAGCTGGTGTATAGTTTACTGAAGACTACACCAGTGAGGTGCGCTAGGATGGGCCTTCATTCTAGGGCTGGCTGTGCTTCACTGGGCAGGGAGCAGCAATAATTAGCGCAGTGCCTGGCATAGAACTGATGCTCTGTGTGACACTCATTCAAATGAAATACAGAATCAACAGTTTCAGCTATTTTAGGACCACTCTTGGTCTACACAAGATTGATCTCAGGCCTCAAAGGTCAAGACCCAAGTGTAGTCACTGACCTGAAGTTCTCTGATAGATGGAAAATCTAAATTCATGGCTTCTTTCTAGTTAGTACCCCCATTGCCACCATGCTGTGACTGTGTATATGACAACACGGGCAGACAGATCAGTACTATTCTGAGTGACTAAAAAATGAACCCCAAACTGGGGGTTCCACATGACCTGTCATTCCTTCTGGTAAACATATTTGAGCACCTGCTACAGACACTGTTCCAGGTTCCTGGAATATAGCAGTGAATAAAAGAAAAAGAATCTCTGGCCTCATGGAGGTTATATTCTTGGGGCTGCAGGATGGAGTGGGGTTACTACAGGCAGGGAGACAAAAAATAAATAGTATGCTAGACAGTGATGAATACAATTTAAAAAAGCAAGGTAAGGGGAAAGGCATGTTTGTTGGAGGGACACAGCTGTACACAGGGAGGACCTAAGAGGCTGACGCTGATCCAAAACATGAAGGCTAGACTGACATTGACTCAAATATGCTTGCTAGTTTTGAGTAAGCCATGTTGTAAAAAGCTGTTTTCTGTATCTGTAAAATGCAGTTATGTACCTCCCCTCATCTACCTCACAGGGTTGATGTGAAGATCATATAAAATTCTGGGCCAGGTGTGGTGGCTCATGCCTGTAATCCCAGTACTTTGGGGACCGAAGCAGGTGAATCACTTGAGGCCAGGAATTCAAGTCTGGCCAACATAGCGAATCCCCATCTCTACTAAAAATACAAAACACTAGCCGGGCATGGTGGCACACTCCTGTAATCCTACTTACTCAGGAGGCTGAGGCATGAGAACTGCTTGAACCCAGGAGGAGGAGGTTGCAGTGAGCCAAGACTGCATCACTGCACTCCACCCTGGGCAATAGAGCAAGAGACTGTCTCAAAAAAAAAAAAAAAAAAGAAAAAAAAAGTTAAAAGTACTCTGAAAGTCGCAAATCACATCAATGAATACTAGGTAACAGCATTATGCTATCGAGAGAAAGCATGTGAGAGGGGTTCAGCAGACCAGTCTGGAGCTCTCTGTTTTGGTTGAAGGGTGCTATAAATAGGATGTGCTTGTGTAAGGGTATCTCCTGGTCTCAGTGTCTTCTGAAAGGGTTAACAGGTGAAGCAAAACACTGAGGCACTGTGGTAGTAACTTTAAGAATCACAATCAAAACATTAAGTACCAAGTATTTTAAGGGTGGACTAAACTATAGTGTTCAGGGATGTGTATTTTGGTGATAAATTACTTATTTTTAATTAAGGTAGTGATTACTTTTAAAGGCTGGACAGTGGAGAGTTCTGAGGAGGAAAACGGGTATTACTGGTACAGGGCACATGGAGGCCCTCTGAGTAGTTAACAAGGAAGTTTGCCTTATAGTAAGCTACACATTTGTTTTATATAGTTTTGTCTGTTTTATTTTACACTAAAATAACATTGCCACCCCTTTCCGTTTTCTCCCCAACTTATAATTTCATTTTACCATTTGTTGCAACTATTGAAAAAGAGGAGGAGAGTGAACTCCGCAATCTACTTGTTAACAAGTCTCATCAACAAACCCATCAGCTCTGGCCAAGAAACTGTCGATGCAGCAAACCTGCATCAAGGGAGTTTGGTAAGAACATTGGATCTGTGGGAAAAGGAATAAGGAGCTATGCTAGTTGCATTTGTAAAAATGAATTGTTTAACTGGTAGAAACATCCTAAGATTTTAAAATATATTTACTCATAACAATCTTGTGAGGTAAATTAGGGAAGCAGCATCCCTTCCATATAGCTAATTAGCAAACTCAAAGAAAAAAAGTCATTTATAAATCAAGAACGGAAATAAAACCATATAGAATGAAAACCCTATGCCTTGCAGAATTTAATCGTATTTTCTCTATTTAATCTATTTGTTCTATTGATTTGGATTGGGATGGAATTTCTACCACATACTGAACAACATACCACAGTATGTGCAACAGAATTATACTGCAGATAAGTAATTTGTTAGTTTCAGGAAAACTTATCTGTAAATCTCCACATGAGCAGGATTAGTAATTTACCTGTTTCTGAATCCATCTCTGGTTCTGTCCACCTGTGGTTTGCCAAAACCAGGCTGGTAGAAGTTTGCTGCCTGTACAGCAAGGTCATGTGGCAAGGCCAGCCCTTCTAAAGCTGCCTGTTGCAACTCCAGCTGGCTCATCTGCTGAAAAGGAGAGGGGAGGGTCAGGAGAAGAGTGAGGACACCATACTTTCTACAAAGGTCTCTCTTCACTCTTAGAAAGGTAAGTTATACAGAAGCTGAGAAAAGTTAGATACTGCAAACCTCACTAAATTGTGCTGCCATCGCAGTGATCAAGATTAACAATTTTATTACTTGAATTATTCAGCAAATTGTCTAACCTTCACTGAGCTTGAAATATAGATCAAAACCATTTATTGGTTTTAGAGACAGGGTCTCACTCTGCCACCCAGGCTGGAGTACAGTAGCTCACTGCAGTCTCAAAACTCTTGGGCTCAAGTGATTCTCCTGCCTCAGCCTCCTTGTAGCTGGGACTACAGATGCATGCCACTATACCTGGCTCATTTTTACTTTTGGGCTCAAGTGATCCTCCTGCCTCTGCCTCCCAAAGTGCTGGGATTACAGGCATGAGCCGCCATGCCTGGCCTCAAAACCATTTTTAAGAATCACAACAATTCAGCTCTCCACTCCCCATGCACCAATAGGGTGAAGGGCAAGCAAGAGATTGAGTTGAGAAAGAGCTCAGCCTGACCTGGGCCGTGATGGGGCTCATGGGTTTGCGCATGCCTTGGAATGGATCTCCGAGTAGCTGCTGTGGTCCTGGTGTGAAACCTGTCAGGAAAGTTACAGTCTCAGTGAGTACCAAGATGGTATGTGTGCATCAGGGAGGCATTTTCATTAATGCATGCCATTTCTTGCTGAACGCCATCTCTTGGAAAGCACTGATTTCTTGGGCTGACAGATGTCCCTCTCCCTCTGTGCCCTGACAGTGGGCTATGTGGACCTCAACCAGAGCACTGTCTAAATTGCTTCTCAACTAAGCCATCAGCTTTGCTCCTTTTAAAGCCAAGACCTCTCTCTGGGAGAGAAGAGCTTTTCTAGCCAGCAATTTGTCCTATTATCACTAAGCCATCTGGTATTAAAGCAGACACCATTGCTGTGAGAGTACACACACTCTTCATTCTATCTGTTTGACTGTGGACGGAAGATTTCAAAAAATGCCTCTCAAGGTTTGTTTGGCAGAAACCAGAGTGGCCAGCAGCCTAAAGTAGCTTACGATGGCAGGAACAACACTACGACATTCCATGTAAAAACTTTGCTAAGACACTTTCTGGAACTTTTCTTTCAGTCACATTCCTAATTAGCCATAAGACTTAACAGTGGATTATCTATCAAAACTCAATAGCTTCACAGAGAACCACTACACTGACTTCTACTGTATCAAAGAAAAATTTAAGAAGCCAAATTAACTTTTTTTGGATTGAATTCCCAAAATAAGGAATAAGACTAAAGAGTTGGATCAGTTAGATTTCAATTAAAAAAAAAATCTATAACATGAACATATTCACCTAGAAGAGCAGCTGATAATATCTTCCACCTTTGCTCCCGCATCCCCCAAAAGTGTAATATTTATTTTTTTGAGACAGAGTCTCTCTCTCTCGCCCAGGCTGGATTGCAGTGATGTGATCTTGGCTTACTGCAACCTCCACCTCTCGGATTCAAGCGATTCTCCTGTCTCAGCCTCCTGCGTAGCTGGGATTACAGGCATGCACCACCACGCCTGGCTGTTTTTGTATTTTTAGTAGAGATGGGGTTTCACCATGTTGGCCAGGCTGGTCTCAAACTTCTGACCTCAGGTGATCTGCCCACCACCACGGCCTCCCAGAGTGCTGGAATTACAGGCATGAGCTACCGTGCCTGGCCATAAATTCATATTTCTTTTTGACAAATAAGTATATTTACCAATTGGTGATGGTATTCTTGGGCGAAGGTAGTCAGCTGAGGCTGCTCGAGTTTGAAACACCTGTGACAAGGGAGGAGAGGGTGCTCTTTGGCCCAGTAAAGATGTTGTAGGCTCCAAGCTCCCCATAAGGCCACTCAGAAGATTGGAAGAAGCAGGTCTCTGAACTGGTTGACCCAGAAGTTCCTAAAGGCAGAAAAGCCAAATCCCTGTGAACTTAGTTCTTCCTTCTACTCAGAGGCTGTGAATTATGGATTAACTTTTGAGAGCCACAGATGGATCTCCCTCATGCTCAATTGAAGGACTTGGCATGTGTACATGCGACACATTTCTCTGAATGTTCAGCTAGCAACATTTGCTCTGTCTTAGTGCTATAAATAGAGATTCCTTTTTTTTTTTTTTCTTTTTTTTTGAGAGTCTCACTCTATTGCCCAGGCTGGAGTGCAGTGATGTGATCTTGGCTCACCGCAACCTCTGCCTACCGGGTCCAAGTGATTTTCACGCCTCAGCCTCCCAAGGAGCTGGGATTACAGCCATGTGCCACCACACCTGGCTAATTTTTGTATTTTTAGTAAAGTCAGGGTTTCTCCATGTTGGCCAGGCTGGTCTCAAACTCCTGACCTCAGGTGATCCCCCCACCTCAGTCTCCCAAAATGCTGAGATTACAGGTGTGAGCCACGGTGCCTGGCTAGATACTTTTAAGTTCCACAGAAACTACAAAGCAAACTAGATGTCAAGGCTTAGTTTGTCAACATTTTTAGCCACCCCGCATCCCCTGCCCATTAAGATTAACAGCAGCACCAAACTATGTCAGGCAACAATATCACATCTCTGATTGCCAGGCAACATAGATCATTTTCTAAGACCCAAAGCTGGACCACTAAACAAAACTGGTTCAGAAGACTACTGTTCAAGACTCCAAGGCCTCAGTATAAGATTGTGAAGTACCTGCAGGATGTTCTTAGGGACAGGCTGGCCTGGAATCTCAGCAGGGGACATCAAATGGCTTTCAAGGTTTCGCTAAAAAAGTCAAAAGAAAACTGGTTTTAACTTTCTTAACTCACTTAACTTACAGATTGATTGGGGACCACATGAAAGCATAAAGTACTCCTAGGGAGTTAATAGAAGAATGATGCTCAAGTCACAGAAAACTTAGACCAACTTGTTCCGCTCTCATCACATAGGTCCCAAAAAAGATCTGGGGATGGAAAGACTGTTCGCATGTACATGCAAAGTCCCCTCAGAGATCCTCACTATGCTAACCGTAAGTGCATTTCCCAGTTTCTAACACTGTGACCAAAAGAAGGGAGAAAAATGGTGAAACCAGGGAACACTTAGTTCTGAGACAACTCTTGCTACCCATTACCTTTAACAAAATTTATTGGAGATACACACACATACATATATATACACACACACACACATATATATAATTCTGAGACATGGTCTTGTTCTGTTGCCCAGTCTGGAGTGCAGTGGTACGATCATGGCTTGCTGCAGCCTTGACCTCTCAGGCACAAGCGATCATCTCATCTCAGCCTCCTGAGTAGCTGGGACTACAGGTGTATGCCACCACACCCACCTAATTTTTATATTTTTTGTAGAGAGGGGGTTTTGCCATGTTGCCCAGGCTGGTCTTGAACTCCTGGGTTCAAGCAATCCTCTGGCCTTGGCCTCCCAAAGTGCTGGGATTATAGATGTGACCCACCACACCCAGCCTACACATATGGTTTTAAAATCGTAGTAAACAACACGCAGGTTTGGCCAAAATTGTTATATTTCAGAGTTTCATATTTCAGGAAATTTAAGCTTTATTATTTTATTTTATTTTTTTTGAGGCAGAGTCTTGCCCTGTTACCCAGGCTAGAGTGCAATGGCGCAATCTCGGCTCACTGCAACCTCTGCCTCCAGGGTTCAAGCAATTCTCCTGCCTCAGCCTCCTGAGTAGCTGGGACTATAGGCACGTGCCACCACGCCCGGCTAATTTTTTTTTTTTCTTTCTTTTTAGTGGAGATGGGGTCTCACCATGTTGGCCAGGATGGTCTCGATCTCCTGACCTCGTCGTGATCTGCCCGCCTTGGCCTCCCAAAGTACTGGGATTACAGGCATGAGCCACTGCGCCCAGCAACTTTATTATTTTTTAAGCGAGCTGTTCCAAAATGGGTATCACATACAGGGCAAAATTCAAATCCTCTACTCTTAAAGCAGTAGTGGTT